CCCCAAAACCCCAAAACCCCAAAACCCCAAAACCCCAAAACCCCAAAACCCCTTTAGAATTTTATTTTATTGAGTCTCATAATTATTGTAAAAATGGGCAATGCTTGTAGTCAGCCGAGTGATGATCAAGATATCGAAGTTGATCATAAAAGAAAATCACCAAAGGGTAGAGCCAATGCTTATAATTATTTAGGAAAAGGAAAGTATGGGCCATCTTCAGGAGGAGTCATCAAATACCATGGTAATTCATATTTTAAACCTAAATTAATTTCCTTAGGAGGCATTTTTAGTCATGTCAAAGGAGAAGTTGAACAGACGAGGCAAAAACATGGAGATTATGACTTTTCAGGAAATGATTTTGAGCCAGAGGATTATGATGTTATTGAAATAGCAAAGAATCATTACTATCAAGGAGAGTATGATGATACAAGGCAAAAACCAATTGGTTGTGGAATAGAAGTATTCCCTGATGGCTCTTTGTATGAAGGAGAAAATGGTGGACCAGGAAGACTTATCAAAGCAAATGGAGATATGTATGAAGGAGAGTTCGATAATAATAAAGCAGACGGAGAAGGAACTTATATCACCAAAGATGGGCAGAAATATGTAGGAAGCTGGTCGAAAGATAAGAAACAAGGAAAAGGAGTAGAAACATGGCCGGATGGAGCAAGGTAAGTATAAAAATGCAGACATGTGGATTTGTTATCGACTCTCATTTTTGAATGTTGAGAAATTCTTTTCAAAATTCTGATTAATTATTTCGAAATATAGATATGAAGGAGATTACAAAGAGGTACAACTTATGTATGACATCTTAGGGAAACTGGCATGGAAAAGGCGAATACACATTGGCTGATAATTCAAACTATAAGGGATATTTCAAAAACGGAGAAATTTGAGGAAAGGGAAAGTACAAATGGGCTGATGGAGACACCTACAATGGTGAGTGGAAGGATAGTAAGATGCATGGCAAAGGTATTTGATTTTGTCTATTATTTTTAGGAGTATTCAAGTGGAAAGATGGCAAAACTTATGAAGGAGATTTTCAAAGAGGCATATAAAATTCATTTATATTTAGATAAAAAGCAAGGTTTTGGAGTTTATAAATGGCCTGATGGCAGAATATATGAAGGTCAATGGCACAATAATAAACAGCACGGAGAAGGACAATATACTAACTCAAAAGGGATCAAGAAAAAGGGAGAATGGGTCGAAGGAAAAAGATACAGATGGATCTAAGTCAATAAAATTTTAGAGCTTTCAAAAATTAAAATGTAAAAAGGGGTTTTGGGGTTTTGGGGTTTTGGGG